ATGGAGATTTAATAGACTCATCATCGGAGATATCTGCTAGCGAAATACCCCCGCCATCATTGGTTTCATCCATTGCGGGGTCTTAAGTACCTCCGCAACAGATTTCGACATAAAAAAGGAAATATATATATATATATATATATATATATATATATATATATGCGTTGAGAAAAAAAAATAAATAAAAAAAAAAATAAGAAAAAAATAAACTTATCCAAAAAATATAACGGTAAAAATAATGTTTAATCCAACAAAGCAAAAAAAAACCTTAAAAATGGAAAAAAAAAGTGCCAGGAAAGTTAATCAACACTATAGGGAGATTAATCAACTTGCAAAAAAAAAACAGTAAATGAAAAAAAAGAAAAAAAAATGAAAACTTTTTCAGGAAAAAACAAAAAGGTGTCAGAAAAGTTAATCAACACTGTATTGAGATTAATCAGGTTGCGGAGAACGGAAGATAACCGTTTGTTACTTAACTCTCCACACAAGCGCACGGAGTGTGGCTGATGACGATGATCTATCCTGATGTGAGAATGATGGTGATGATCGTTCTATTGTTGCCCTCGAGTGTTTGCAACAAAGCACCGGCTGGCTCGCCGTCTGGTGAACTCGATGTCCTTGATTTTGCTGTGGCGTGATGCGATGAAATTTCTTGATTAAAGATTAACAGCTCATCTGCCGGACTCGGCCGGAAATGACTGCATGCTTTCTCGAACGATTAAGCGGCCATTTCAATTCCGCGATGCTCACTACACTGTTGTATACTACAACACCACTCAGTATGAAAGCGGATTGAAAAAAAAAGCTCAATAGGGGAAAAAACTAGTACCGATTACGGAGTGCAAGCAATACTTGACCGAAACAGTCGAGCGTTCGATGTGGAATGACACTTCGGCCTATCAAGCACATAATTCATGCATTCAGTAATAATACACAATAGTAATGGAAAATTATAATCCGTAAATTGTATATTTTTGGGACAAATTTAGAGCATTTATTGCACTTTCTCAAAGGAAAAACTTTGTAAAATTTTCATATTTTTCGTTTTCTAGGCGCCATGATCTTGCCGTATTATTGCACTAACGAAAATCTACACTGCGGTGTTCATCAAAAAACCTGATTATTTCATGAATTGAAAGGATTACCTTTTTGTAACATGCTAGCGTAATAAATCTAAACCTAATAATATATATTACACTTTTCGATCTTATTGTACATTTAGACGATTTAACAGTTTTTGTGCTTTATAACTATGGGTCGAACATTAGGGACGTAATTTTGAGACGTGTTCCTAATTATGGCCTACGAACTTTATTTGATAACTTTGTTTTAGTATTGGTGAAACCATTCGTAATTTAACGACGACTCGTCGCGAATGTCGAATTTCTTGAAACATAGCGGATCCTTTCTTATCCTTTCAAGCCACTGAAACATCCCGTAGGCAAAATCAAGCTTCTAAACTTTGACGACCACTTTAATGAGGCGAAAAAGAGCTGCCAAACGAGGATTGATTTACTCCGAACACTGGCACTTAATGAACAACCGTGCTATTCGTATGCGTGTAGCAAAAGCTGTAGTTGATTCCAGGTTGACCTACGATTTTGAACTGACTTGCCTGGCCTGGCTGTTGATAGGTTGATTTCCAAACTGGGTCCAGTGTGTTATCAGGCCATTAGGGTCACATCAGGTCCCTCCCATCCACCCCCAGGTTGGCAGCCTGCGTGCCTTTTGAAACGTACATCTGTTTGCAAGAAAGCGATTGGCTTTGCAGAAAAGACTACAGGGACAAGTGATGGAGTGTCCCTCCTCATGGAGGCGATCGATCTTCTGAATAATACCGCCAACCTGGAGCTCCCTCCTGTAGCCAGGGTCCCTGGTGTCGAGCCAGAGGTTGGAATTCACCCGGTCTGTCCATCGATCCGGCGATAAAGAACAGCTTCCGGGCGGGAACCAACTCCCCTGCACTAGTGAGAACAGTAGCCGAATTAGGGGAAATGGCTCTAATGTTGGCCTATGGATCTAAGATTGGGCCCATCGCTAAAAATCTGCTATTTATCAATTGTATCTAGATGAACGCGTTATTGGGACGGTACTAATGGATATTTTTGGTTGCTATTGAAAATGTAGTCGATTGCTGAATTTATGTATGGGCCTAAATTAGGGACACTTAGGCCGACATTACATACATTTCCCCTACATTGAACCAAATACAACAATCATCAAGTATGATACACCGACGGATCCCGGAGTGGTGGTAGAGTTGGTATTGGAATTTCCGATCCGGAGCTGTGCATCTTTTACCGACTATCGGACCCTTGCAGCGTTTTCACTGCTGAAGCAGCCGCCATTCTCGTAGCCTGGCACCCTACCCTCCAACAAACCGATCGTCATATTCTCCGATTCTGCCAGTGTTTTAGCAGCTCTTCAGTCTGAAACAGCTAAACAGAATATCCGGAAAAACTGAAGAGAAAGCCTCGTTATACCGTTACCGAAAACCAATGTCGGGACCAAGGACATCACTGGGTTCCGTCCCATTGCACTGACCTGCTGCATGGTCAAAGTCCTGGAACGGATGGTCAACAGGAGGCTGAAGCAATATCTTGAGGCCAAGGGGCTTCTTGACCATCGGCAGCACGCCTTCAGGCAAGTCAATGGCACCTTCACCTACTTTGCCACTCTTGGGGAAGTCCTGAAGGAGGCAAAGGATCAAAGTCATCACGCGGAGATCGTCGCGCTGGACATCTCCAAAGCGTTCAACAGAACACCAGCTGTATTGAAGAAGCTTGCTGATTGGGGCCTGAAAGGACACATCCTTCACTTCGTCCGGAGCTTTCTGACCGACCGATCTTTTCGGGTTTCGGTTGGAAACGTGCAATCCGGAAGTTTCAGTGAGGAAACCGGAGTTCCACAGGGTTCGATGATCGCGGTCACCCTCTTCCCGGTGGCTATGAATGGGGTCTTTGACCAACTACCCAAGAACGTTTACATCTTCGTCTACGCGGATGACGTACTCATTGTAACGATGGGGCCCACCCTGCAGAGGACGAAACTGAGAGCGCAAGCGGCAGTCTCCTCGGTGGTCAGATGGACTGACTCTGTTGGTTTCCAGCTTTCCGCCGGCAAGAGCGTGCGCTGCCATATATGTACCACCAGGCATGGCAACAACGGACAGCCCATCATGATTAAAAAACAAGCAATTACGACCAAAAACACCGTGAGGGTCTTGGGAGTGCTCGTCGATTGGAATTTATCCTTTGAGCCGCCCAACAAGTAAAGAAGGACTGTCGCAGTCGGTCCAACCTGATTAAGACCATCTCCCGCCCCCACCGATCCAACAATCGCGAAATCCGCTTCCGCGTAGCTAGAGCCATCATCGACAGTCGCCTACTGTACGATGTAGAGATTACATGCCTTGCCGCCGAGAAAGCAAAGTTACAACGGCTACGTTCGAACAGTCTCCGGTCTCCTGCCCTCTACCCCGGCCGATGCTGCATGCGTTGAAGCCGGTATCCTACGTTTTCGGCTCGTTTTCACCGCAGCTACTGCTACCAAAGCCGCTGCCTTTCTCGCTAAAACGTGTGGAAACAACAGGATCGTTCTCCTCGACGAGGCGAACCGACTCCTCCGCACGGCCGCCGACGTAGATCTCCCTCCAGTAGCCAGGGTCCACTGGCACGGAGACAAAAGTTGGCAATCGCACAAGATCAAAATTGACAGCCGAATCAAGGACCACTTCAGGGCAGGAGAGAATTCACTGGCTTTACGCCGGACAGTTGTCGAAACTCTCGGTTCGCACTACCTAGGTTATGAAGTTATGTACACCGACGGCTCTCTCTCTCTCTCTCCAGGAGCGGAGTGGGAATGGGGGTCTCCGGAGATGGTCTGCTTGTGAGCAGATCGCTCTCAACCCAATGCTCGATGTTCTCAGCTGAGGCAGCGGCCATTCTCCACGCGGTTAAGTTACCGGCCAACCGGCCGATATTAGTCGTAACTGACTCACACAGCGTGATATTGGCCCTAACAACAGAAACACCGAAGCATCCGTGGATCCAAGGAACGGTGAAGCACGTGCCGCCCAACACAGTATGCATGTGGGTACCCGGTCACTGCAGGATCCAAGGGAACATAGCCGACCACCTCGCCGGCTCAGGCCACAATGGACCCAGGTCCACCGGCAATGTACCGCTCCAAGATGTCAAAAAGTGGATCAAGCGGACGATTCGGAGAGCCTGGGACACCGAGTGGAGGAACAACAGGACACATCACCTTCGGAAGATCAAGGCGACCACCGGAACCTGGAAGGATCGAACCTACGAGAACAACGAGTGGTGTCAAGGCTGCGCACAAGGCACAGCAGAGTCACCCACAACTTCAGAGGAACACAGTTCCGGAGGACCTGCGAAACCTGCAGAGTGCCAGCCACCGTGGAGCACATCCTCGTGAACTGCGCGTAGTTGGAAGACCTTCGGCTTGGAGTTAATCAGCATTCGGAACCTGTTGGGCGACGAGTCCCCGGCAGCTGCCGCCCTCATCACCTTCCTAAAGGAGGCGAACCTTTACCACAATATCTGAGTGTTCCTTGTTTGTATTTCCGTTTTGTTGGCCCTTTTGGCAGTTTTCTACACCTTTTCATTATAGCAAGATAAATGTACTACAGCCAAGATTGGGAATCTCCTTCTGAGAACCCAATTTTTTTCTCCTTTTTTCAATCTTAAGAGATGAACTAGCCGTATGGCTAAAAATCTCTATAATAAAGAAAAAAACTGTATTTACTTAGGGGCTGTCCATGAACTACGTAGTCAGTTAAGGGAAGGGGGAAAACGATAGTACACCTTTGAAAATGCTATTTATACCTCTTAATGAACAATTGATTAAGCCGCAACTTTTTTTCTTATTCTTCTTCTTCCCGATTCTCATACACGAGCTTTCCCCTGCTCTCATCCTAGTGTCCTTTGCAGCCACTCCGACAGGTATTAACTGATGCCATTTGCCCGTTTCAGAGAGCTACCTAACGGACATGTCCGCCATCCCGGAGGCAGTGCCCAAGAGCAGTCTTCGGTTGCAAAAGGAGTCCATGCTGCGGAAAATGATAGAAAAGGAAGACCTCGCCGAGCTGGCACGCCTTCGAACAGTGCCCAATGCCAAGTACATTTGTCCAAATACGGAGTTCTACAGAAATGAAGGTACGTAGTTGTCTGCTTTTCCTAACCAGAAAGAAATAATTCAAACGGTATTGGTCTCCTTCCTGTTTCCATTCAAACAGTTCAAATCATGAACCACCCGGCCGGATCTGGATTAATTCAATTACGGGAATATTTCAAGAAATGTGGAAACGTGATCAACTTCCGCGAAGTGGTGAAGGGCGGTTACATCCGGGAGGGATTCCTGAGCTTCGATACCCGGCTGGAAGCGCGGCGGGCTTGTACCATGAATCAGAACTTTATGAACGGCAAACGATTGCTGATTCACATGGCAAATGAGAGTCTCTTCTTAGATCCGGAACTGTGCGTCATGGTCATGGGATTGAATGCCCTCGTTTTGGATGAGGACATATACGATCGATTTAGCGATATTGGTAATGTCAAGTTTGTGCACCGGCATTCTCCTGGAATAGCCTGTGTGTGCATGGAACAGAAGCGCTGGTTAGAGCCTGCCCTGCGGGTGATCTTGATCAACAAGCACCAGGTCATAGTCAGTCGAGTTAACAGCATGAATCTTGCTGGGTCGTCCGGTGGTCCCCACATGCAACAGTTTATGCAACAGCAAACCAACAGCAAACTATCGTATCATCCTACCGTGGTGATAAAGGATGTTCCACGACCGAACTTGCGACCAATTGAATTGGGACGGCCGAATGTACAAGGACCGCGACCAATGGATCAGGGAGGACCGCGACCGATGGGCCCTGGGATGGGACCGATGGGAGGTCCAAAAGGGCCAATGATGGGTCCTGGCGGTCCCATGATGGGGCCTGGTGGTCCCATGATGGGTCCTGGTGGACCGATGATGGGTCCTGGCGGTCCCATGATGGGACCAGGAGGTCCAATGATGGGTCCCGGTGGTCCTATGATGGGACCAGGAGGTCCCATGATGGGACCTGGTGGTCCCATGATGGGTCCTGGTGGACCTATGATGGGTCCTGGTGGTCCCATGATGGGTCCTGGTGGACCTATGATGGGACCAGGAGGTCCAATGATGGGTCCCGGTGGTGCTATGATGGGTCCCGGTGGTCCCATGATGGGTCCCGGTGGCCCCATGATGGGTCCTGGTGGACCGATTAACCAAAACCCTCCCATCGTCACTCCAGCAATGCGACGTCTAATGCAAATGATCGAGTCGCAAATGATCAACATTCAAACGTTTAGCTCACTACCAATGATTGAGCAGTTCCGCCTCGTCCATGGAGTTGTTAACCAATTCATTCAAGTACCACAATTTGTCGATATGAAACCGGACGATAAAATCAGATTCCTTATCAGTGGACAGCATGGTTTTGCATATGCCAATACCTTCACGCTCTTCACCTATCCTCAACAACTGCAACTGTTGGCTCTGATTCAGCAGGATTATTGGAACACTATCAACAGCACTCCAGTTCCGACAATCATGCAGGGATCTGCACCCGATCAAATAATGCAATCGGATCCTGTAGCCGTCAATCCAGACCCTCCTTCCCTACAAGAAGAAGAGATACCAGATCCGATGGATGGAGAAGACATAGTGGCTCCATGGCAAATTAAGTCCTCAAACCCACCGCCCCCAACAAAGACCACCCCTGATAGATCTATTTACAACACAATCCCATTGTCCGCACAAGATCGCTTCGAAAAGGCAGAAAAATTACGCCTGGAGGTTGAGCTTAATGACTCGAAAAACAGCGACAAAGTGTTGACTGTCAGTTCCGATTCTGATTCTGACTGTATTCCTCCGGCTCCAGAACCTCCCCAGTTCAGCTCCAAGAAATCTTGCTCGATATCCCCTTTGACTTTGCCACCTCGATTGAGCAGGATTCGAAGCTTGTCACCCGTCGATCACTATCGGCGATCCCGGTCTCGATCGATTTCCCGTAGGCGCTTGTCCCGCTCACCGGACAGTAGATCACCGCGGAAACGCAACAGCTTGAGTCCATTCTCAAAAGCGCTGCTTTCAAGTCCTTTGCTACGATACGATCAGTCCGCTTCGAATTCCCCTGAACGATACAGACAAAATCCAAGCCCGCCACTGCGCACCGCCTACCGCCCTGATACATCGTCTCGCGACAAAGAAAGACAACGATCTCGGTCGAGATCGCCAATCCCATCGTATCGATCTAGATCACGATCACCATATAGACCACGGTATACATCCCCGAGCAGGAGTACTCGCCACCGTCGCCATCACCAACGGTCACGATCGCGATCACGATCAAGGTCTGTTGGACGGCGATCGGTTCGCAAAAGTCGATCAAAAAGCGAATCACCGCTGTCGCTAAGTCCACCACGGAAAAGTCCATCACCAAAGATGTGGGATGATCCTACGCTTGCGAAGCAGCCTCCAAGATATACATTTAACTTAGATACAATCAGCGGATCTACCAACAGCCGTAAGTAGCTTCTCCAAGTGTCCAGGTTAATGAACCCAGCTTGAAACGTTTCTAATTACAGTATTTGTCGGAAACCTACCGTTGGATACTACGGAGGAGCAAATGTTGGAAATTTTCGGGAAATACGGACAGATTGTGTCGTTCAAGTTTGCTACTCAGAACATCGGAACGAAGCGTGCCTACCTGCGATTCGATACGTATGATCAGGCACTGAAGGCACTCGACATGCATCTGAAGCAGTATCGCGGCCATCTGGTGCGGGTGGCTTTCATGAACAAGCGCCAAAAGGAGCGGCCAGGATACTCCATAATTGTACAAGTAGCGAGAAAGCGTGAGTATCAACCTACCCGCATAATTTCCATTGGTTGGTTTAACCATAGACTCAAGAAACATGCTCAATATGTTGGCTCAGGACCTATCAGACCTTCGGTCCCAAGCTAATTGGAGTGCACCTCGAAAAAGATTGCCTGGGACCAATGGGCTAGTCAAGCGATGAGTCAATTTAAAATCGTTAGTTTCGTATTGATTGCAAGGTTGCAAAGACTCATTTCAGCTAAAACAATGTTTTTCTAAATAATGAAATAATTAGATGCCATGATCAAATTTTGAATTGGTAGGATACAAGAAGAGGTTGCAAAGAATGTGTTTGACATATTAAACCTGTTTATTTCACTTCATGAGAGTCACAATCAGCGATTTTTCACAAACTCACTCACTCACTCACTCACTCACTCAGCGATCAGCAAATCGCTGATTGTGACTCATAGAAAGCAAAATTTACAGGTTTTGTGTTTCCAACGCATACTTTGTAACCTCTTCTTGTAAGTTACAAGTAAAACATGCCATCATACCATCTTTTGGTTTTATTATTCCGAAAAACATTATTTTAGCTGAAATGAGTCTTTGCAACCTTGATTGATTGTTGGTTTTACTTTGCGCTTGCCTCATTCAACAGACTATGACGAAATTGTCATCTACAACACGTTCAAGCTATGCGGTGACATTTCGTACTTCTGGACGCGTTTCAGCAATACTACTGCTGGTAAGATAGCGAGAGTCTACGGTGTGATCGATTTCAAACACCGGGATGCAGTGCGGGCAGCCCGCGAAACGTACAAACTTGTGAATGGGAAAAGGTGCACAGTCGCTGCAATTATGTAGTAACGAGCTACCCTCTTCACCGTTCCGGGGGTATCTTGGGATAAGATCTCAATGACTCACGCGACGGACCTTGGGCAACCTTGGGTTTCGGAATGGATTTCCGAGCGTCGAGTGGTGAGTACCGTTTCCATTTTAATAGGTGAATCCTAACCTTATTTTAGCATTTAGTATGAGAAGAAGATAGGCAATAGGAATGGAGCTTAGATGTGAGGTTACGTTAAGCAAAACTCTGTTACACAGGACTAGGAGGACTTCAGATGTGTACCACTAGGATAAGGCTAAAAGTTATCTATGTTCTTGCATTGAAATGTAAAATTTAGGAACATTCAAAGGAATGCTATTGACTAAATCCTTAATGTGATTAGATTCTATGTTATCATCGCAAATTACTTTGGTTCAAGGCGAATTAAATTGAAATAAGTTAATTTTCGTGCAAACCAGCGCCGTCGCGTAACCTCATTGTTTACTTGTGAATCAACTTTAAAAAACCAGATTTAATACCATATTTATACTCGAAATGGTTGCAAAATGCACAACATCTTCTAGTTTACTCGATGTCTATTGAGGTAGATTGAGGTTAAAGCGACGCCACTGGTGCAAACATAATCATAATCATATATAATAACGTGAAAATTAGGTAAACCATCGACTTTATTTCTTTCTCACTAACAATAGAAATTTGACTTGAATTCAATTTAGGTTTAAACAAATTTGAGGGTATTTATTTTAGATTTATTTTTCAATAAGTTCGATAAAATCTGTATGAAATATACTCTAGACTTACTACAACTGTATTGCCGGTGGAAGCATAACTGTCCCATGTGTAGAACATGGGACAATTATGCGCCCACCGGCAGTGTAACAATTTCATAGATATAGGTCTGACGATTGGCGTCAGGATGCTATTAATGTTAAGATGCTTAAACTTGATGTAGTTTCACTATGTAAACATCGTTCGTGTGAATATAAGAAGTAAACACTCGTGTATGGCTGGAGATAACAAACCTATCTTTCGAATATTTAGTTTTAAGGTTAGATTATTAGTAGTACGATAAACAGTCTAGTTGTTAAGTTCCGTTTCTTCAATTTGCGTTGACTGGCATGTGCAGTAAACACTTGCCAGGTACCCTAGGGAAGGAGTTCAAATTTACGGGACAGTCGCATAAAGTTCCAACTAATCAACTTTTAGTGTAAAATAGATTGCAGTCATTCTGTTGAGTACGGAAAATTCAATACCAAATAATTTCCGAAAAAAAAATCTGCTAACTACCGTTCTGCCCATAAATGACGAAGATATGGCTTATATGGCAAATATAAAATTCCAAGTAAAATGGTTTGAAAACTTTTAGCGATAAATCGATTAAATCACAAAAATCTCGTGCATAAAGCTATACTAAATAACGGAAGGGCTATTGGAAGTTATGTCTTTGTGATACAGAGTTTCGAAAAATTTCTTCCCCGAAAATGAATCAGGGTGTCTACTACCTGGAAAAACCTGGAAAACCGGGAATTTACAGGGAATTTTATTTTTTCTGGAAAAACCTGGAATATTCAGGGAATTTTGGTTCCACTCAGGGAATTTTCCAATTATCACTTCATTCGTAATTCAAAAGAAGTTTTTCGTTCAGTTTCTCGAAACGTTTCTTAAGGACACTGAACTTGACAAGCATCTGATAGCTAAGACAACGTGTGCGAACGAGACAAGTTCATTCAGAGAGTCTTGTCACGCTCGCTCTTCGCTGATGTGTATGTGGAGGATCAAAATCGTCGTAAAAAGGAAACAGCCGAAAAAGAGAGACTGGCAACCGTCAAAAGGAAGCATACGAAGCATGTACTGTATAAGAATAAGCATGCCAGACAGCAGGTCTGAGACCCAACATAGATTTTTTTTTGAGCTTCAGAGAGGGTTGGAGATCTACTGAGAAATTTGTTGAGCTTTAGGGTAGTTCGTAGATGTTGAGAAAAGAACTACAAACAAATTAAAAGTTATTAACAGAAATCACAAGAGGGGTCGTAGATCTTCAGATAAATGTTTGAAGTTTTGCAAGCAAAAATAATTTCAAATCAATTTGTAAAACTATAAGCGAAATTTTACAAATCTTCAGGGAAATTCGCATAACTTCAGACAAGTCCAAGAATCTACAGTGAAATATAAAGTATTTCACAGAAGTTTGGAGATCCTCGAAACATTATTCAACATCACAAAAGTTCGTAGTTCTTCAGAACAAAGCTACAACTATGAAAAAAATCACAGGACTTCTGAAAAAATCACAAGAATCTCAGAAATGGATCTTCAGTAAAAATTGCAGAACTTCAGGGATTTAAAAAAAATAAATATTTACACGATTTCAGGGAAATTTGTAGATCTTGAGAGAGACATTTAAAACTTCAAGGAAGCTCAAATATTTTCTGATAAATTTTGACAACTTTAGGTTATCTTCAAGGAAATTTTCAAATCTTCAGGGTAACCCTAGATGAATTTACAAAACATCAGAGAAGTTTGCAGATCTACTGAGAAATTTATGGAGCCTCAAGTTTTTTTTTTTGTAGATCTTGGGAATAGAGCTACGGAGCTTAAGACAACTTTACAGAACTTTAAAGATATTTGCAGGAATTTGACGGAAAGTTTCACCACAGACAAACAGACGTAACTCTTTGAAAAAGTTTTTCTTGAAAACATAGCATCTCAAAACATAGGACCTCAGTAACGACATCTCTCGGGCTTCTCGCGGAAAACAATCTTGCTCGCTAACTCGCAAACAATATTGCATGAAAGTTCAATAGAATGTATAGAAACGTCAAAGTGATCCGATGCCAGCGCTACGGCGAGTAGTTCGCGGAACTGATAATATTCAAATCAACCGTTAAATGCGTGGACGAAGATACACAATGAAGAGTTACGTCTGTTTGTCTGTGGTTTCACAGTTTCTCACAAATGTGAGATCTTCAGAAAAATTCGTTAAATGTCCTCATGAAAAGCACCTCAATTCCAAAAACAAATCGCAGGGAAGTACAAAAGTACAATATTTTGCAGAACTCCATGGAAGTCGGAAATAGATAAACCTAAAGAACTTCAGAGAAGTCCGTAGACCTTAAGAGAAGTCTGTAGAACGTCCGAAAATTCGTACGTTTTTAGAAAAATTTGCAAAACTTCAGCAAAACTCGCAGATCTTCGGGAAAGTTCGCCGATCTTTAGATCAAGAATCCACAAAGAAATTTAAATAACTTTAGAAAAGTTCGAAGATCTACTGTGAAATTTATTGAACTTCAGGGCAGTTCGTAGATCTTTAGAGCAGAAATACAGTACTTCAGAAAACTTTACAGAATTTGAAATAAATTTTAGGAACTTCAGAAAAGTTCAGAGGGTAGGTCGTAAATCTACTCAAAAATTAGCAGATGTTAAAATAAATTTTCAGAATTTTACTGCGGTTCTTGGATTTTGAAAGACATTCACAGAACTTCAGGTAAGTTCGCTGATCTTTAGAGATATTTGCACAGCTTCAGAAAAATTAGAAAAACTTCAGAATACTTCCTAAAACTTCCGGAAAGTTCAAAAATTTCTAGATAATCTTTTAATTCTTTAGAAAATTGTATAGATGTTCAGAGATATTTGCAGATATTCATTGAATCATGAAAATCTGCAGAGAAAATTACAGAACTTTTGAGAAGTTTGTAGATTATTAGAAATGTTGTGAACATCAGAGATAATTGTTGATCTTCAAGGATCTTAAATCTTCAGGGATTCAGGAACTTTGTAGGTTTTTAGGAAAATTTGCTGAACTTCTGAAGAACACACAGAACTTCAAAGAAATCTGTAGAACTACCGAGACATTTGCAGATTGTCAGGAAAGATTGTCGATTTTTAAGGAAATTTTACCGGAGAACAGAAACAAAACTTCAGGGACGTCAGAAGGTTTGAAGACCTTGCAGAATTGAGTTGTTAACAGAAATTTTCAGAACTCAAGGAATCATGTATATCTAGTGAGAACTTTTCCCACTAGCTTGTCTAAAGTTGGTATCGACATCCTGGCGAAGTTTTGAAATCCATTTTCATCTTCATATCGCAGCTCTTGATGGACAAGATGAGCCAAATCCCTGCCGGTGTTCCTCCTGAGCAACCATTTCCTACTCCACAAAGTTCAATTTCTCTTTCTCATTTTATTTAAAATAATAAAAGCAAATACGTCTGCCGAAACTAGAGCAATTTTCCGGTAATTCATGATGGAAGTATTTAGTTTTGACTCCTGATACAGTTTTGTTTTGAAATCTAAATTGACAGTTCTTTCGACATGTGCAAGCAGTGTGAACACCAGCAAACAGGGGGGTTCGATAAAATAATAATGTGTATAATTTGTATGTACCTGGAATTTTTTTCATCCGACCTGGAAAAACCTGGAAAACTCAGGGAATTTGATTCCTTGGATTGAGTAGACACCCTGTGAATGTTAGACAATATTTCAAGCTGAACAATGCATTAGATGCTAAGCAAGATTGATCGATTCTCTTTCGTTAGTAACTTAAATGCAGTACCGTTTCAAGTCGTATTTTCATCGATCTGTGTGCTGAAAATAGCTGGGAATGTCTTAACATATGGCCGTAAGGATGCAAAGAGAAGTCGAGGAAGAGAATCTGTAAATGTTGCTTAGGACCTAATGCACATGCTATTTTTAACTAGTTCGTTTATTTGGAAGGCACTTAATTCTATGTCTAGTAGGAGTTGGGCCGAATACTCGCGACTTACTCGAGGTTAGAGAGGTACATTGTCGAAGGATAGGATCAAGGGAGGAGCTTGGGGGTAAGGGCGACGATGAGACTCATCGAGACGGGGGGACAAGACGAACAAAAACTATTAAAGAGAGACAAAAGACAAAGGAATTAAATTCTTATACTAGACATTTGAAGAAACACATAAACCGATTGCATATAGCAGATATCGCGAGTTCCCAACACGTCTCTGATAGGAACATAGGGTTGTCTTCCTTGGATATCGAGGATATTCAAAAGTCGCTCTCTTGCGGTGTCATTATCCGTACACTGCCAAACTGCGTTTTCGAGGTTTATTCTATTGAGATGAGCATCTAGCGAGTAGTGGTTGGACATAAGTCTACTCATCACACGAATAAAGTCACGACTTAAGTCCAAGCCTTTAAACCACGCTCTCGAAGAAACATTAGGAATAATTGAATGTAACCACCCGTCCAAGCATTGTCCCGATCGGTTTGCTAACTCGAAAGGGTACTCTGATGCACTAAATGGTAAAATTCATCGTGTGAAATTTGCCTGTCATAAAATTCGCCTTCCTGCGCGCCCACCTTTGCGAGAGAGTCCGCCTTCTCATTGCCTGTGAATGAGCAATGTTAGGGGA